CAAGTGGTTTCACTGTTGAGTCTGAGGATAGGGGGTTAGTGCGTCATGCAGGATCATAGATTGCTAGTCTATCAGTGACGTCAGCTTTCCCCCAGAAAAAAATTGGGTTAGCGAATGGTTTGACATTAGTCGTCTTGCCCGAATACTCAGCACGAAATTCACAGATTATATCAAACGAAACTAAACTCTGACTAACCGCTGATAATAAAGAAGGTCGCAGGGTATTTTTGAAGCAGGGCAGTTCATTAACCAACCTCATGGAGCAGAATAGTTACAGTCGATTATCTGGTCAAGAAATTTCCCGTATTAAATGGAAAACAAATGTTCATTACCTTGTTCATAAAAGCCAACTGCTCGTCGTAGTCCTTAAACCGTTAAATCCATTTTGAGCCATATTCTACTTTTTAAGTCTAGAGCCTTTAGACAACGTTTTTGGACAGAGTGTACCTCACCAATACCGAATATAAGTTAGAGGATAATGGTGACTTTCAAGACGGTATCGAAAATGGGGCTTTGTAATATAATTGTAATTGTGACGTAATTTAATTATGTAATTGAAACAAAGTACTGTTTAAATGAATTGCAAACCAATTACTGCAATTGTTACGTTAAACTTAACATGTTACACTACGGACGAATAAGGAGACGTAATTAATTATATGACGCGTGCAGACAGCGCCACAGCATCAACGCATTTGCGGAGACTATCTGTACCCGGTGATCGTCGCGTGTATTGTAAAGAGGAACGCAGGACGACGAGACGTCCTGTTTGATTCCTGGGTTGTTTAATGACGCTGTTTGAACTTAATAGGTTATATGACGTCCAATGAGGCGAAAAACTTGCCATTTGTATTCAATAGATAAATAAACTTATTGATATGACAGCTAACCACATAACGCAGGTAATTGAGACACAGTCATTTATATGCTGAGGTTAGCAACAGAAAATGTGTACAAATTAACGGTCTATATACTAGTTTCGAACGCTTAAAGAAAAACACCTGAAGATGACCAATTAAGGTCGAAACATGCAATGGATTCTTAATAAACATCGAAGCTATAGTCTTTTTTGCAGATAAAATGTCAACCTAATTTACAACTCAACAGGAAGCATCACTTAAAAAAATTATTTAATATATAAACTTCAAAATAATTAACTTTGTCTCATATCCCCCCGCCCCAAAGATCTACATGGTGTGTAGTGGGACTGTTTTAATTTTACATGTTGCAACCAGAATACTTCTTACTGTTAAAGCAAATTCCTTCTTTGATACTAACCTAACCTAACCTAGCCCGTTTGCTATTTGAGGTTCTCTCGCTGTATAAATGCCGTGTGAATTTGTAGGTGGAAATGACTCTTAGTAACGAAATTATACGTTAGTTTTAAGCACTGAAGACGACTCACTTATTTTATATATCTAGTCGTCTCCCCCCTCCCATTTCGCAAAGCAGTGGCCACACCGCGCCATATTTCACAGCTGCTGGAATTTTCTACAGAGTTCTGCTCACTGGAATGGACATGGTTCGTGAACCTTATTACATCTGGGGCTGGGTGGAGTTCTGTGCTGCAGATAAACCCCTTTGGGGTTCCTAAGGCGTGTTTCGAAACACAGTCTGTGAGATTATTTTAATAAGTAGGAATTATTAATTAACGGTAACGTCTGTTCTGTCAGTAATTAGCTCAGACAAAGCGTTACAGGTTGACTGAGAAGAGACAGAACATTGCATTATTTGCACTCGGGTTCATGGCACGTAGAAAATGTGTTCTGCAGTGACGTAGCCCGTGCCTGCCGCTTTGAGGGCTTTGCATTTGTAAAGTGAATTAAATATCAGGTGGCTCCAAGATTATTGGCGTTGTTTTAAAAACAATGGTAGAATTATCGGTGTAACGGATTTCAATGAACCGTAACATGGCCAATTTTGAGTTCAGAAATATTTATTTTTACCAATTTCTTTACGTGAATATATCTGTACTCCGAGTATTTTGAAATAAATTCTATATAAATCTTATTGTGTAGCTCTGTGTAACTAATTCCTTTGGAAAATAATAGTCGCTCAGCTAGTAAAGATATCCTCCGACATTTATGGAACTCTGAAGTTTCATTGTCGTGTTCAAAGGAACTCCGCCCCACTGGTCCCTGTACACAGCAAGATTAGCCAAATTTACAATTGGAATAGTTTTACAACAATGTTCATCACTTTAAAAATTTAAATTGAATTTCGTCTATGATTTCCTTTGTAGACCTATAGCTAATTATGTTCACTTTCTTTTGAACAGTGTCATTGTTTCTATAATTGCTGTCTTGGCATGCGTTGTGGCGTTATAAAAACTTGAATGAAGGTCCATAGCTAATTTTATACGTAATTGATAACAAAGTCAGTTGCTAACACAGATTTGCCGTGTCAGTGTAAAACAGATTTGCGTCAACAATAATTGAATTCTATATCAACAGAGGTGTATAAAATATTGAAGGAATTTTATTTTTTTATTTTTTCCGTGGAATCGAATAGCGTGTTAGCAAGAGGCGAGAAATTACACGTAAACACGCCTCGCTTTACCTGATTAGGGGACTTTCGTTTTAGTTTGAAAACAATGGAAATAAGTTTAGGAATCTTAGATGCGCTACTCCAGAATCGTGTGTTCGGATGTAGTACAAGGTTGGGTTATCTGCAATGAACGGGAACAAAGCCTTGGCGGGCAATGGATGGCGAGGTGAGAGGCATGAAGGCCTTCATCAGAACTCCATTTTGTTGGAGCTCCGAGGTGTGTAAAGTGGCGAAGGCCTTTGAAGAACAATTGAATTAGCAGAGTGAGTCTCGCCTCCTGTGCGCGCAACTTGAAGCACAAACCTCCCATTTTATTTTGAATAAAAAGACTTTTAGCGAGGGTTACAAAAAGGGCGAAGTGATACATTTAAAAATCTGGAAAATGTCAAAGTGAATAATATTATTTCTAGAACCTATCGTAGTATTGGATCTATTATGAATTTTAAGTGACATTAATGTAAAAAGAAAGACGATTAAGATTCCGTAAGACCTACTGCAAATGAAAATGTATAAAAAGTAACACTTATATTTAATTCCTTTTTATCGATATCTAAATTTTTTATTGCTTTGATAGAAATGAGAGTATGATGGAATGTCTTGTGTTTTCAAAATCTCAGATTTTATACAACTGAATTTAAGGCCGAATTCATATAACTATATACACAGTGATTGTTCAGTAAATTCTAAAGTTTTGTTATGCAATCCCGCACAATTTATTAAAGTCTCCTGTTAGTCACTTTTCAAACGCCTGATATGAAAATTAATATGCAAAATAATTAAATTGGAATCGGACAGATATCTTTCCTTGTTTACTTCTGAATTGTGCAAACAGCAGATATGTATAGATATTATTATTTAGTGTTCTGTCTGACGACAGGTCCATATGAACAGGATCCTTGCATCCTTTTCTCGGACTGGGACCTGTTCATATACGTTCTTGGCAGATGATCCAGAAGTGGATTGCCATTGCCTTCTTCTGTGTGTGAATGGAGTAATTGTTGGGATGCCACGGAGGAAAACTCCGTGTTGCCTAGACCACGGCCTTGCCCAACACAAGTTATAAATTCGGGCACAGCCGGGAATCGAAACCGAGACCCCAGGATTACAAGGCCAGCGTTATTACCGCTAGACCACAGTGTCCTGTTGTATAGACATACGAAAGCATTTCTCAATAATGTATTCAGTAGTATTATTATTCTTAAAAACTAATCTGCTCACGTAATGTTCAGGTTATATTCATGTTCCATTGTAATTAAAAATGTTAACGTCTTAATTTTGAACAACTTATTATAGTTATTTTACTAATATTTTGATATTTTTGTTTTAGTCAACCCTCAAACAGTTATTTGTTGTCGTAAAGATAAGTCTGTGAACACCGAAGACGACATTTCGTTTAAGATATTATTTCATTTAGCAGGCGATGTCTGATTTCAAGTTCCTAGTCTCAGAACATCTTTTTATTCGCCGAGAGATGGCAGCACCACACGAAGGGTCTCGTATCTTAATTAAATCAACTACGCGTGCTTTTACACCTTCAGAAGCAGCAGCATTTAATGCGGAATGACATCATGAAGAAGGGTAAATAGATGTAAAATTTGATGGCTGCTCTGAATTATCTGCACAGTGATTTCTTGCGTCATTATTATACTCCAATTAATGCCGTTTTGTGTTCGTAGCGGAAATATCACTTATTTTTCTTTTTTATATTATTTAAAATCTACGTTACAACAGGAAATATAACGACTGTAAAAAGGTTTTCTTGATACACGAATTTTCATGAAATTTTGCACTGGTAATTCTTGAACAAATTATAATTTCAGAAAATTTTCCGTTCAGTCACAACTGTTTATCTCGATATGTACATACTGAAACGAAAGATAATTTAAAGAATAAATTACTCGAGGATTCAGCTCGCTAATACCGTAGTCTGCTATTGAACACGTATC